AATATATCCTCTAGCTGACTGAAAAAGAAAATTACTCACAAAGTTTGACTCTGAAATCCTCTTTTCTCACTTGGATAGTTATGATAAAATAATAAACTCTTCCCCACTTTTCTTTGCCTAGAAAAAAATTATATAAAACTGTAATCTCTAGTAGATCCTTCCCACTGAGCAAAAATATGTTGTCCTCCAAACTGTATCTATCAAGTGTCATGTACTAATATTTCTCTGTTGGCAGTCAGCATCAATAAACGCTGAAAACATTTCCAGTCTGCACCCAATGAACTTGAAATTCCTCTCGATACCAAATTCTACCTCTCCAAAGTGTTTGAGTGGTTTTGGGTTACACCAGTTCGTGTCAGGTGGGTTCACTTAAACTTTGACCAACAATGTCAGCAGGATAAAGAAGTCACAAATGCTGTATCTTTGAGTGTCCTATCTATCTCTGTGTACTTAAATGTAGGCCTCAGGTTAAAAAAAATATATATATATATATATATATATATAATTTTTGCAAATGCTTGCAACAGATGCTTACTGTATTAAAGTCTTAGCATCTTCTGTGTCATTAAAATCCCCACTTATATTGTCAGTATTCTGGGTACGTGTTTGTCCAATTAATTGCCATTTACCTCTTTGCCTTGCTTATAATGCAGACGATATCAGTTATGATATCAATGTAAGATATATGGTCTGTATACTGTAAAGATCAATTTCTCACTATTTTGTGTTCAACAAACATGTAAACTTCAGCCAATAATTCCTATAGGCTTTGTTACTGTTCCTCACAGTCCTTGCGGGTCAAATTACCTCGTCTTTTTCATTTACTGTGTATCAGAATATCTACTTCTGATGTTGGTAAACACAATTTGTTGACTTAATCCTTGTCTGACGAAAGTGACAGCAAGTGATACCTGTGTAGTGACGACGTTATCGCTCCGTTGGAATCCTGGTCCTCCCAAAATCCAATGATAATGAAGTTCAGTGTTGTCACCACCAAGTTGACACAATATTTCAGTCCTTAATTAACATGCTCTAGTATATACTGCATTATTGTGAAGCAGTTTGGTGTTTGTGCAAATATAATCAACTTCTTCAGGAGAATTAATTAATGATATTAATTACCTGGCGGACGGAATGTTGACACAGCACGTGAGTTAAGACATGAACAGAACATTAAATTTCCACTTGTCCACTGAGAAATGAGATTTTTCTCAATACAGACGTGGTACAGTCAAACTCAAAATCCTCCTGGTTTTCTAGAGTCGCTGTGATAATTTGAATGTTAAGTCCACATTTGGTTGGAAATCTATACCTGCTTTTATCTCAGCCTGAAATGAATTCAAATTCATTCTCCAGGTCAATTCTATGAATTAATGCAACCCAGTGCTTCCTGTGTGATTCCTAGGAATAACAATCAAGGAAATTCTGCTGTTGAAGGTCGATAGAAAGATTGCCAGTATGAATTGAAAGCTATTGTTACCAGCTATTCTCGTACTTGTATATATACAGACTAATGCTGTCGAAGGTGGTTACTATGGCTGAATATAATGTTCATTAATAAATTAAACTTGGATATCTGATCCTGGAAAAGGGGAAAATTGCTATTGTAGGTTACTTTTCCAGTGAGAAAAAGATCTGTCCTGTGTTTTGTGTACTCCCTTGCTTTCAAATGTTCTACATTTCTAAAGAGTTATAAAATTCCTTCAAAATATATGTCTCTTGTTGTTTTCCCATTTGAATAGTACATGTGTCAATTCACTTATTTACAAGCTGTGTTTTTCTCCTTTTTGATTTACGCTCATGGATCTAAAAGAAATTAATCCCAGTCAACTAATTCCTTTAGTCAGTTGTGACTGCTTCTTGCTTGAGCTGAAAATTAATGGTAATACACTCTACAGCCATGCAGCTTGAACTATAGCCAAGAAGAATGAACACGTCTTGTTCAGTCCAGCTACTAGATGATTAATATCTTCCTATTTCTCCGATTATAGCTTGAAAGTTCCAACTTTTCCTTTCAAATCTCCATCAAATTTTCTTCAATTGTATGTTGTTGTCAACAAGAATTCATAAAGTCGTCTGCCGTCTCTTGCCCCCATGCCTCCATGCACCTGTGCTGTGGTGTACTGTGAGTGGAGTATCAATGGCTGTAACACAACACTTTACTTGACCCAGGCACATTGTCAGCATCACAGTACCTCTCTCGCAAAAATAAAGTCTTAGAGTCCAAATTCTCTACTTTGCCGTCAAAGAATAATATTTCCTTTCACTCTCAAAGCAACAGTTGTGTAACTTGGTCTGTTGTGTTAGTCTGGTTGAACTATATTGGGTTGTAAGGGTCTGTAAGGCCGTTGGTTATCAACAGTTATTTGCATTACCTTAGTGCGGGGTATTATGTTAAAGTTAAGAGATTTAATGAAATAACAGTCTCACACAGAAAAACTGCACAATAAGCCATTGTTATCCTCTCTTGGGGCCATGAATATGATCTCCCAGGGCCTGGAGTATGGGTTAAGAAATATACTCACTGGTTATACACAGACAGGGCACTAATATGACCAAGCTGGGGGAAAAATGGAAGTCTTTTCTGGATTGTGTGAACATTAAAAGAAAAGTCACTAAGGAGTATACAATAGCACAGCAAACAAAAATGGCCATTTATCAAATTCATCCAAGCATAGTATTGAACAAGCTGCTGGGCCTATTATGCACTTCAATTGTTGCGAGTGTTTATAAATACGGGTTGTCAATAATTCTGCCCTTTATGGCAATATTTTGAATGAGTAACGGACAACTGTTACCCACTATTATAAATATTTTATCAGGAATTTGGTTATTTTTCTCAGCCGATGCCTCTGCACAGTTCTTTTTATTTCATAGGAATTTGTATTTTAATCGAAGACACGTGAAGGAATGTTATTATTTTAGCATTTTTTATTATTCTTGATATTCGATCTCCAAAACTAATTGTTAATATGAAACTGAGGTTATCTCGTGCGTCATAGGGAGTATGTGAGAGAATGACTTTGCTACCTTTTTCAAAGTGCCATTTCTTTTTAGCTGTTTTGATGTTGATTTATTTCACATTTTTTCCCTGTTTTTTTTTTTTTTTTTTTTTTTTTTAATTTCAGAGAAAACTCATTTAGTGAATCAAAATTTGAATAAGTTTTCAGTGTAATCCAACTTTGTAATTAACTTTTTAAAAAAAATTGCTTATTTACCATGATCAAAAGTATAATTGGCCTGCTATCTGATGTCTCCTTTCTCCCTCTGATGAGACAAAAATGTGTGAGTATGCTGGGGTACGAAGCACTAGCAATATTCTTTTTTTTTTTTGCTTAGCCAAATTGCTACTTTTTCACCACTTTCTTCTGCAATATTGGTTTAAATTTGACTAAAACAAATCAAACTAACCCTATTTTGTTTAGCCAATTTAAGTCAGTTTTAGCATTTGGCCAAATTGGAGAGTGTTAGCACTACCTTAGCATAATAAAATGAATAATCATAATGATTTTAAAATAGACATCATACAAACATGTAGCTAGTATTACATAGAGCAGGCAGAGTAACAAATGTATTGAAATGGAAATTTTGTGCACTTGACAAATTAAACAAGACTTTTGCCTGAACAATGTTTACCAAGCAGTTGGTTCTATAAACATATTTACTCTCAACAATATGAGCAAATAATTCACACAAAAAGGAATGTAAAATTGTATCAATGGAGATTTCAATGGCCATTCATGTGCTAAAAGTTAAATTTTCTCAATGTGTAAGCAGTATTTTTAACATAGAAGGAGGAGCCACTGGGGTTAAAAATAAAAAACAGAAAATTAAATTCTTACAAAGAATCTGTTTTTAAACTAATTTTTTTCCTGAAAAAAACAAGAATTTTGGTCTAAAAAGTTTTCATACTCTTCATATGTGCAGTATTTATTTATTTTTTATATCTTGTGTACCGGTACTTGTTTTGTTATCAAGGAGAGAGTCGCACCTGTATCTCTACCCCACAGTCTCCAACACTCTCTGCCAAAACCCTGACCATTGCATTTGGGTGGTCTAGCACAATGTGTTAGTTGTAACATCAGTCTTCTTCAGCACAATGTGCTATTAAAAATCTCTGTACATGAGGCATCTACTTAATCTACTTTCAATATATATCTTATCCTGTGGTGCATCCAAGCAGCCAGTTTTTGTCATAGATTTAATCATTTTCTAGCATATTGCAAAATGAGATGCATGAGCATTTTTTTTAGAAAAAAAGAAAGAAAATCAAACTTACGTTCAAGGCATCCTGTCTGCTTCTGACTGGCCCTGCATGATGCGTTTCCAAAACTTCTGGTTTTGTGGCTTCGACCACTCTGTAGACCTCCTCATATTCTTGTTGCTATGGTGATAAAGGGGTCTTTAAATAAATCATTTTTAAGGAAATAGTAAATACAAGTAGCATTTATAGATAAACAAATGAATAGGAATTTTAAGGAAAAACCTGAAAACAAATTTAAGTGCAACAAATGTAATAACATATAATTTTTTTCATACATTTATTGTAGCTATTTTAAGGTAAAGAAAAACTTGTCTTTCAGATGATTCAAGGTATAATCATCATTAAAAAATGGAAAAAATGTGCTCTGTGTGTGTGTGTGTGAGAGAGAGAGAGAGAGAGAGAGAGAGAGACAGAGAGATGGGAAAGGGGTACAAAAAGAGAAAGAGAGGAGTAAAAGAGGGAGGGAGGGAGGGAGACTTAAGGGATGGAGTGGAAAAAAAGTTAGGGAGAGGGAAAGAGGAATAGGGGTACATTCTTCACCTGATATTTGAGTCCTGATTTCATCAGTTGATATGTCTGTGACATCATGTCCATAGTCATTTGTCTGATACGTGTGAAATGCTCCTGAATCTTCTGGTTGATCTGTTCAGGGGTGAGGCCCTTTCCCCGCATTATGTCTAAGAAGGATAGTTTTAAAATATTTTTTATAAAAGGTTATAATTTTAATCATCAATTTATATTAAAAAATTTAATTATGATAATACATGAAGCATCTTTTTCGTATTTCCTTTGAGATTCCAAATTTTATTTCTAAAGGGTTCTCATAAACCTTGAAGATTAAAAGTATTTTTTTTATAAAACACTTAATGATACATGACATTATAGAAGTTGCATTGTTATTGAACAATGAACCAAATAAAAAATATACATCACTCACCAGAGAAATCCAACACTTGCTTGGTACGATCGAAACCTCCAAACCTCCTAAACAAGACAAAAATTCAGTCTTTGTTTATTTAAATACAACAACATTATTTGTACTATTGGCACATAAGCTAATGTATTTTTATCAGTTAAATCTCTATCTTTTCAAAGTAGGACCCATCCAATGGTGAAGACAGGGAATGGTATTGTATGTGGGCCCTCTCTCCCTCCCCTAACTAATTTCAGAGGTGCATGTGTATCCCTATAAGGATCTCCTTCAACCCCAATAAAAAAAGCATCATATGCAAATGGAGACAAAAATATTATTTTTTATACCTGTGCCCTACAGACATGTAAATAGTGAAATTGTCCTTGTCCACTATTTTCTATTTATTGTATAAAAGCATAATTTATCCTGGGCCTGCAAGCACCTATGTATCATATTTTATTGTTAGGTGGGTCTAAGCTGATAAAGACTGATTTTGCTGGGAAATGTGTTATTTCATGGTACCCCAGCACTGAATGGTACATAGTAAAAAATTCAAGTTAAATGACAGTTTATATGGTAACTTATAATCTTTCATAGATTTGTGTATAAAAATCTGGAAAATATTATCCCAAAGTATGTTTCCCCTCCCATGAACTTGACAGTCTTGAAGAAATTACTAATCACATCTTTTTTAAATCATTTAATTTAAATAATATATAAACTAAAAAATCAAAACTTTTAGCACTTACTTTCCTCTTTGGAGAATTTCTTGTTCCATGTTGTAGGCCTCAGACCCAAACATGTCCTTCATCATAGCCTCTAGGCGCTAAATATGACATTACAAGAACAGAAAACAATTTAGAGGAAGTAAGAATAAATTTTTTCAAAATTCATTAAAAGTAAGAATGAAAATTAAAACTTTTTAGTCCAATAAAAATGGAAAACATTTTCAACACTCATATACTAGTACATCCCAATAAATTCAACTTGAACTATAGGTTAATGAAATTATAATAAATTTAAATCATAATTTTATTATCATTTTTTCCTATGTGATTTTAGACTATGAATTCTGAACAAGTACAACTGTATCTGTGTGTGTGTGTGTGTGTGTGTGTGTGTGTGTGTGTGTGCACGCGAGTGCATTCATATGTATGTGTACAAACTAACCCTGACACAAATGTACTGGTATATTTTTCAGTAATCACCACACCTGTCCATAAATGAATGCAATAAAGATTCATCCCATTTTCTTTGCCTTTTTGACTACAGTTTACTTAGCTAGTTATGAAAGTCATATGTAAAAAAAAAACGACAGAAGCCTTTAATGTCACTTGGACTCACCCTGTCCAGTTTAAAGGCCTCCCGTGGGTCAAGGTTGGCCCTGAGGTCGTGATTGGCCTTGGTCATCATGCCCAACTGTTCCCCCATCATCTGAGCCGAGTTCTCAAAGAAATTGTTCATGCCGCTTACCATCTCATCAAGCTAGGGACAAACATAGTCCATGTTGTGTAATCAAAGCTAAGTACTTGAAATAATCTGATTAAAATGGCTATAAATGTTCATTGTCTTGGGACATTGAAAAATATTCCTCGGTTCTTACAGTTGTGAAAGTTGAGGCAATGAGTATGTTGAAAATCATCATATCATATCTAAAGAAATGTCTCACTGCCAAATAATAATGGGCAGCTCAAAATACAACTAAGGCAAGTGACTTTGACACAAAGAATAAGTAAGCTACATACTGTATAATGATTAAGTAAGCAAAACTATGCTTGAACAACAAATAAATTTAATAATCAGCAAATGAAATTTAACATAACCAGATAAGATATTTTCCTCACATTATTTTGCAAATAATTCTCAGCATCTTGTTCCACTTGATGGATCACATTTGGGCGACCATGTGACATCATTGCTTTGGCAACATTGACCGTAGATGGCACCACCGTTGAAACTGCTGTGATATCTCGTTCTGTCCACTTTTTCTTTCCTAATTTCTTTAAAATTTATGATTTGAAAAATTATGCAAAATATTTTGTCTAATTCAGACACTGACAGTCATAAAAAGTTATTAAAAAATTAAAGTTATAATAAAAAAAAAAAACAAAGCTTATACAAAAAGGCACTGCACTGGAAATATTTATTTTGTACATATGAAAATTATTCACATTTTCTAAAATGTTTCTAAAAGAAAGCAATTTCTTCCATTTAATAAATTTCTTTCAGAACACTTACTTCTATGATAGAATCCCAGCTTTCCTCTGTTTGGGTAGCCTAAAAGTGATTAAAGGAAATAAAATAAAGTTACGTTTTATAAATTAAATCATTCTATTAGTTTACATACTTATACTAACAGTACAGTGCAGTGGTGTGTGTGTGTGTGTGTGTATACTCTTTTAAACATGAGAATCCAATATACACATATAGTGTATAAAATCAATTTAACATCCAATAAAGGGATAAAACAGCCTTCAGAAACAGGAGGGAATTAAGACATTCAGCTTTGATAAAATATGTTTCATACTGTCTGTTTACTTTGTACCAATGTGTTCATTTCATGAAACTTAATTTGAAACTTTTTACCACAGTCTATAGTATGGCTGGTGGCTGGGAAGAGGAAGGGAAGGCATTTTGTACCCCCCCCCTTCCCAGTCCAAATAAACCTCTATAAGCTTCACATTCTGGACTTGTTAGTCAAACCAAAATAGAAGGGAGGGCAAAGCTGTTATTTTTTTCTTTTTTTTTTCTTTTTTGAAAAATGTTTTGAAAATGTTGACAAGATCAATTGTACTGGAATCTGTAGAGAGAAGGAAAAAAAATGCCTTAGATTTGTCTCATATCTTAGTTATCTATACCTTTTTTTTTTTTTTTTTTTGAGGGGGGGGGGAGATGAAAGTAAGGGGAGGGGGACACATGCTTCTCTGTGCCACCCCTTGGATCTGCCTTTGCATACCTTACTGGACATCTGAGCTCTGATAGCACTGCCTCGTTCCATTTGTTTACCACCCTCGTTACTCCATTCTTTTCCTGGAACTCCCAGCATCTCAAACACATTCAATGCTGACGGACTAAACACCTCGCCAAGACGGTGAACACTGGAAGCTTCAATTCTGTTGTTTTCATCGACAAGATCCTCTTCATCATCTTCATCACTGTAGTGTTGGGATACCACAATTTTTGACTGAAGAGAAAAGAAATTTTTAAAAAATCACAAAGTGTTTTAATCTTTGTTTTTATTTTGTTTCAACTCTTTTTAATACTAAGATATTACAATGTTGGGAATGAATGAAAGTCCGTCAATTCACAAAAATTAAAATAAAGACACTTCGAGGGCATTAAATGCATGTTACATGTTTCAATAGCACAAAAGTTAGAATCATTGGGAATCATATAGAAATTTTTTCTCTTATGACCAATTAAGGTATATGCTTTATTCAAAACCACAGAAAAAATAGCATGTACTCATATCAGAGTTTGGTGGTTAATAAGGGCTTTATGTTCATTGTTTGACTTGAAACATCACATATAAATATCAAAGTAAACACATTTTTTCTAACCACTGTTGGCACGTTTCTTCTACTGTCTCCGAGGTCTTTTTCTGATTCAGAAGACTGAACTCTAAGGTTCTCTTCCGTGGGTGATTTTATCCACTGATCATCATTTAAAAAGGAAAAAATAATAATAATAACCTAAAGAATAAACATGCACATAATTAAAGCACTGTAGTATAATGATTATGATCATTTTCTTCTTAAACAACCAAAATGCCATGTATGATCAACAAATTTTATTTTAGCATATACTGTTATAACAGAGCCTATTGTCATAATTTTGTAAATTTCATGTGCAAAATATTCCATGAAAGGGAATTTCATTAGGCTTATCATTTATTACTCCTCATAGAGAAACAAGATTTTTTTTTTGCATCCTTTTTTTAAAATGCAAATAACTATAAAACAATATATGTAGTTATATAGGGATATTTCAAATATAATGCAGGACTGCTCAGGGCTAGAACTATTACTTGTTTTTGTCTCATTTTAACAATTATGATGACGCTTTGAGCAGAATAAAAAGGGCACCTCTAACGATAGCTAATGGGTGGGTGATGAACTTGACTAAATACAGTAATGTGCCATGAATTTTGTATAGATGAAACTAATTAAAATAATCATCTTGAATTTTATACTGATGAAATTCATAAAAATAATCATCTTAATTGGTCGAAATTCATGTAATGGGAGGTGCTAAGCATTTCCATTTTATGAAATTCTGTCATTTTGTACCCGAATTTGTCTGTTTGTCAACAGACCCTATTACATTACCTTTTCCCAAGGATCTCTGTGTCAGTTACCTTATTGTATAAAAGGTGAGTGTCAGTAATAATTAATGGTCTAAGGTGCGAGATAACGATTGGTGCAATTGGCTTGGGACACAAAATGTACACGCATTAGTACCTGGGATTTTTCTTGACACAGTTGCTGGACCTCGTCTTGGGCGGAGTTTAAGGACACCTGGAGTTGCTCTATCATTTCTCTGTATTCCTTGTTTTCACGCTGAAGTTCCTCTATAGCCGTCTTTGTCAGACCAGCTTTAGACATCTAAATTTTAAACAAACAAAAATATTTTTTAAAATGTTCATTAACTTGGTATAGTTGGATCATAAATGAAAATTATCAAACACAAGCCAAAAATCTTTCATCCCATTAGCTTATTGCCAACTTGGACGTATATGCCTTCATCAGACTGATGTCCAGGTTGGCCATAATGATAAGCTGATAGTATGACAGATTTTTGGCTTGTGTTTGATAATTTTCATTTACGAAACAATTTTTTTTATTAAAAAAGATTATACAAGTCTTAAACTATATTGTAAAACTGTGAGGATTTTCCTTTAATGAAAAAAAAAACTTGTGGTTAATTTTAATTTAAAAAAAACAATTCACTGAAAATTAATTATAGTAAAAAAATGATGCACAGGAAACCAATTTTGTGTTAGTGCTGGGGTGTGAGTGGGTTAACCAATCAGAAAGACATAAGTTTTTGAGTTTAACATAATAAGTATACATTTGACTTAAAGAAGTGGAAAGGGTTTGTTATACCAATTTCTTGCACTTATGAAAAGCATGGTTTAAAAAATTGGTGAGACTACCCCCCCCCCAGAGGACCCTAGTCAGTCTGCCCAGCCCCCCCCCCCCCCCCCCCCAACAATGTAACAAAAGCCCCAGCCAAAATTTACCATAGCTGTTTTGCTTTCATTGCCCTGCTTAAGATGACAGTGACACTTGCTGCACCTATGAGTCTTGGATCCCTCTCGCTGGACAAGTTTTATAGCACTTCCAGAGGCTCTTCCACTGATTCAGAAAAAGATAGAAAGTACAGAAGTGTGAACAGCTAGTGAATAGAAAGAGAAATATCTGTAAAGAACTTGTAAAAATTTTCACTCTACCACATACCCTGCATGGTAGAGAGTGGGTTCAAGACAGAAAAATATTCTTTGGGAGTAAATAATCTTGTTCTGGGAGAGTCCCAGAGGAGTTGGAGTGATCTACATGGAATGCTATTTCTATTGTGAATGTGCCCTTAAAGGAAAAAAGATATTGGGGTGTGAAATTCAAAAAGGTTTAAGGTATCTGTACTGTTTTTATCAAAACATGCAAAGAAAGTGATGCAAAATTCTGGTCTCCTGATAATTAAAGAAAAATGTTATCCCTTACAGCATTTACCTTTTTTTTCCTGACAAAACCCTGCACTCTTAATTAGTTCTAAATGCAAAGAAATAAATCATATCCAAAAGATCCATCACCTGAATGAGGTATTCGAGAGAGAACTGACATCTGGTCTGAAGTTCGCTTTCTTCATCTGTTTCATTAGATTGGCTTTATCTACCTCTAAGGCATCCACTTCACACTCCTGAAACAATTAATTAATTAATAAAAGGCTAACATCCAAGTGATCACTGGAAGATCTTTGATAATTAACATTTTCAAAATATTTTAGTACAATATATCTGATAATGGCAAAAAAAGAAAAGAAAGGAAAAAAACTGATTATGCCAATTTCCTTAGCTCAGTCATGCTAGAATAGTACCTTGTCAAGTAATGCCTGCTCCAATTCTTCAAGTTTTTCCTTGAATTCTTGATTTTCCTGTTAACCAAGAAAAAAAATAATAAAACAAAATACTTGGTTACTGTGATAACTTGAAACTCAATAATTCCAAAGATAATCATCAAATATGTTTAACGCAAACTATATGCAAGTTTCATTTTTAATAGGAATTGTGTAATTCATCAAGGAAACAGTGATGCTTTTTGTAATGAAAATAAGTGTTGAAATCAAAATATTTCTACAAGGCTTTTATATTAAGGTAAAATGGTAAATGGCTCATTTAGAATAAAGAATGTTTAAATTCATTTAAAGAAATTTTATGAAATACTAACTGTTGGGTTGTGTTTTGAATAGAAAAACAGTTGAAAGAAAATCTAAAAATATGTGCAGATAAAAATTCCTGATACACATTATCAAACAAAAACCTTAAAATGTAACTTGTCAAAATTTCAGATAAATTTCTTCATGAAATTGAGTTTTATGGGCAAAACAGTAATAGTCTTTGCATTAGTTCACACTCGGTGTGTGTGTGTGTGTGTGTGTGTGTGTGCGCGCATGTGTGCATGTGTGTGTGTGTGTGCAATATCTAAAATAGGATTCTATGCTGTGCGACCCAGGACTTTCCACAATTACCTGTGATAGGATTTCTACTCTGTTGGTGCGTTCCCTCAACTGTGCTTTCAAGATGACGGGATCTTCGGTGATCATGCCCTTTGAGATTGCAGACTGGAAAAGGATAAATTTTATGTGAAAATTGATGGTATTGTGAGTTTTCATAGAGGGCCTAATACATGTATTATAAAGAATGAATGAAAGTTTAATTGAACAGCATGCCTACCCTTGGTGGCAAAGCACTTGCTCCACCGCCCAAAGATGTACCGTGTGTTCGTCTGCCTTCCTCCTTCTCCTCCTCGTCCTCGTCTTCCTCATCTTTGCCAAGATCTACTGTAATGTGTTGTCTACCTGGTTCATAGTCCTGCATTCTCTGGAAAAAATACGAGACTATGGTGTAAGTGTGTGTGTGTGTACGCGTGTGTGTGCATGTGTGTGTATATATATATATGTGTGTGTGTGTGCGTGTGTGTGTGCATGAGTGTGTGTGGCGTGTATGTGTGTGGCGTGTATGAGTTTGCATGTGTGTATGTGGGGGGGGTAGTGTGTGTGTGTGTGCGTGAGTGTGCGTGGCATGTATGAGTTTGCATGTGTGTATGTGGGGGGGGGTAGTGTGTGTGTGTCGTGGGGGGGGGAGGCTTGTGTCTTGCTAAATTTTACTACATGTATATTAGGTTCAGCATAAAAGCGTATAATGCACTAATTAACACCTTAATATAACAAAAAGAAAAAAATCATGAAAATTTAAACAGTAAGGTATATCCTGCCCAACACCAATAAGAAAATTAAGATCTATAACCTCAAAGAAAGAAATAAATAAAACTGGGAATTTCAACTGAACCACCAAGGTATATCCTACCCAAAATTGTTGAAAAAAGTAATAGAATCTCTTCTTTTTTTAGTGTTTTTTAAAGTGCTAAAAAGAGTTAAATGATTGAAAGGAAAGGAAGACTACGTAATATTTCACGCAAAATTCTTGTCATTGTTCCTCATGCCCGTCTCCCCCCCCCCACACACACACACAAACACACACACACACACACACACACACACACACAGCTCCTTTTCAACTTTCTGGATCTGCCATGGATCCACTATACCTTCGTCAGAGTCAGAAGATTTTCCTTGATTTTCTTCTTCTCAGCTTTTAGATCCATGTTCTTCAACAACAACTCTTGATTTTCATCACTGTACCTGTTTACCATCTAAATGATGAAAAAGATATGTTTTGAAAAATAACAGAAATATCTGCAACATCAATTAAAAATAAGTAAACAAATATCAATGAAAAACTCTACAAAAATAAAATCTAAAATCCAGTTATGCTTTGATTTTTGGAAGTCGTATAGTGATGCATAGTCGATACAAATTACGTTTCTCTAATGTTTAGAAAGAAAAAATACAAAATTCTTTGCCTCTGTGTGTGTGTGTGTGTGTGTGTGAGTGTGTGTGCGTGTGCGTGCATGTGTACCCATGTATGAAAGAGCAGAAAGAAACATACCTCAGATTTCTCTAGTAACTGAATTTCCATTCTAAAAAAATATGAAATCAAAAGTTGAAGTACTGAATATTTTTTTGTTTAAAAAATCTACAGTATTGAATTTTTTTAGAAGTGCTGAAAACTACCATGAAATTCTTACAGTTTTTGTACTAAATTTCAGATGGAAACTAACAGCCTACTCTCAATAAATGTTATCACATACTCTCCAAGATCCCATTCCCAGAGATTTGATCGATCCAACTAGATCGACCTAACTCCCTTGGGGTTCACGCTAAATAGCTGTCAGCCGAGCGGGCACAAAAGTTAATTACCCCCTTACAGCTTGTAGTAGGCGGAACGGACATTTAAGCCGGATTATCTGACAGTAATCTAGCGAGACTCCCCACGGTGATAGATCGATCTAAAATCTATGGGAATGCGCCCTTAATGAAAAAATGAATATTATTTTCAGCAGCAAGACTGTCCCAGTTAAATCTTACCTACCACAATATACCCTTTGTAAGTATTTCACTAACGCAATTGGCAATTCCATGCAACTTTTACAGAATGATACAGGGGCGGAACCAGGATTATTTGAAGGGGGGGAGGCACAGATTCAAAACCGAACCTTACCACCCCCCACCCCCGAAGGGCCCACAAAAATGTTCGTGTTTTAGAGGGCGAACAGTGCCATTTGGCATGGTTTAGAACTATGATTCATCTAGTCAAAATTCTAATTTCAAGAGGGGACAATTGGTATGATTTTTTCAGAAACCGAAGGGGGGTCAGGTCCCCCTGACCTCACCCTAAATCCCCCACTGTGATATATGTATATTATTATTACGATTGCTTTTCTGATCTCAAATGTCAGCTTACAGGGCGACAGTCTCCGCCTGCGTCTCCATCATCTGCAGTATCTCCTGCATTCTTTGCTCCAAGGAAGACGAACCTGATTATAAGAATACATATTTCAAAAATTTACCTATTAATTGATCCATTCATTCATTCATGTGGTCATTAATTAATCTATAAACTGTTACAACTGTCTAACCTGAGCTGATGCATTAATTTTCGTTTTCATATTTCTCGTTTTTTCATACATGTTAGAATAATATAGGTGTGACCTGTATCTTTGGTCCTCAAAAGTAAGTAGTTATCATTAATCAGAAATATTTTCCCAATTGATGATTTTGATCTATCGCAGGTATGAAAAGTTCGCATGCCAGGAACAACGTGGCGCAGGGGTCCTCTGCTGTTTACAGCGTCACGTCAATCCAGGCACGTGCGGTCCTTAGCAACGCTACATGTGTGAATTGTTGAATTAATAATGTCGCAGACAATCCTTACCTATACCGTCCAATTTTCGGCTCTATTCAAGAGCCTTCCTCTAGTCATGCGCTGATTATCTAACGCTGTGATGTACTCATTGACCTGTTATAGAGCATTTGACGGTAGGACAGCACTGTCTGTGAAATTATCAACTCAACAATTCATGTATACCTACCAGACCTTTTTTAAGAACCGCTACATGTGTTTCGACATTACAAGCACTCACTCGTGGGGAAGATGAAAACCGCCAATTGCAAACAACCCACTGTTAATATACTTCTTTGTTAAGAAAGAAAGAAAGAAAGAAGCAAGCTTACCCATTGTTGCCCCCTCCTCGCGATAAGAGCGCAAAAGGTCGACAATTTCACCAGAGGCAAACTTAAGCGCCTGTGCCACGTCATGTTGCACTATTTTACGCATATTTTGTTCGTTTGCTGAAGAGAAGAACACTTTTAAAAACTTACTAAAAAAAAGAAACATTACAACTGGTAATAGATAGATTTTTAGGCAATGCAGGCAATTTTTGTACAAAATACCAGCATCCATTTTAAAACGGATTTTGTGAAACGGATTTCACCTGGGGTTTCGCTACCCTCCACCAGGGCGATAGATTGACATTTCACTAGATATTCAGAGATATGTACTTCGATAAATATATGGTCATTTTGTTTTCTGTGATAGCGATATAGAAGAGTGCACATATTTTCCGCGGGCCTGGTTATCAGGTAGAGAGTATGCTTTCGTCTGATTTCATCCAGAGTCCACTTATCGGGCGAAAGAGAAGTTACACGAAAAGAAATCTTTTCAAAAAAGAATAGGCATATGTATTCTGTTATTCAAATTACAACTTTGCTCTAATGTAAAAATAACACTTGTAACTCGTCGTACAATAACGTTAAAAATTAGGCGGTAGGGGCGCATTCTTATTCACTCATTGTACTGGCTGGGTCGGTCCAACTCTGCAG